AGGGGTTTAGGGGTTAAGGGGTTTACGGTTTAAGGGGTTTAGGGTTTAGGGGGTTTAGGGGTTTAGGGTTTAGGGGTTTACGGTTTAGGGTAACCCTCAAACCCTGAACCTTCTTCCCTTGGCCATACACCCAGAAGAAGTCCCATCCTCACCTCATGGGGCCGCAACCAATGGTCATGATTTAGGGTTTAGGGATAAAGTGAGATATGGCCTTCATGCAGAACATAAGGATTTGCCAAAACCAAGGGCGCCCGTCGCCACCTCAAGAAACCATGTTCTTATTTAAAGGGCCCTTGAAAGCTTCCATTTATGCTACTCCGGCATGGTTCAGGGTTGGGGGTGAAATATTTTCAAGAATTTGGGTTTAGAGTCGAGACTTCCAGGAGGATTAGGTTTGTATACATAACCCCTATATAACCTTTATATAACCCTGTGTGACCACAGGATTTTAATCCCTATATAACCTTTATATACTTCCTATATAATCCCTCTATTATATGACTCATTTATAACCCTTTTACGATCCCTATATAAGCCCTATATAGCCCTTATTTATATGTGGACCAGGCCTGCTTCAAGGAATCCAGGATGTTGAGAATTCTACAGTTTTGCAGCTTCCCCTGGACTTCCCACAGGTATATCGATATAAAGGTTATATAGGGGTTATATCGGGGTTATATTGGGGTTATTTAAGGGCTATATAGGGGAAGGAACATTGTGGTATGCATCATTGCAAAACTTTCAGTGGGAATTTTGGTGAAGGTTCCATTCTCGGTGTATGGCCGGTCCCTGTTACCAGCAGCATCTACAAGCAAAATCTTCCTAAGCCCTCAACTCTGAACCCCTGCTCTACTCGACCTTACGCGCAAGGTGTCAAGCTGGCAGGACTGAATCGCAGTGTGAGCTACCAGCTTTTTCTTTCAGTTTTCAAGATGCTGAACGATTCATGTTCCTTTTAGGGTCTGGGCCCCTTGAACGGGTGATGCAGGTTATACCCAGACCGTTGAAAAAGGCTAGATAGGCGTATGGGAACCTGTTTTTCTCTCTGGTTTTGGGGCTTCTTGGTACTGGTCGGGCTGGTATAGGGATTATATAGGGCTTTTCTAGGGATATACCAGGGTAATGGACCAAAGACGGTAAGGTACTATATTGTTTGGGGTTTAGGGAATAGGGACGTATAGGGCGAGTGGACAAAAATGAAGCTTTCAAATTTTGTGCGGTTTAGAGTCTAGAGTGTAAGGGTTCCCCAAATGCAGAACCAAGCGATGGCGTTTATAGGGTCTGTAGATTGAGAAAACCCCAGTTTATCACCGTGTAACATCCGGACATCTTTTATGATTGCAATTATAGATGGCACTAGATTCTCGGAATCTACCTACCCAGCATTCCTGGCTGACTGCTCTAACATTACACCCCCTGTACACCCTCAGACCTAATCCCTATTGAAAAACAAGCTTAAGACCATAAACCCTTGACCACCGGTCGTCTCTCTGTGCGAGCTTCGAGGAGAACACCGACTGGCAGCAGGGTGACCAGGCAAGGTGCCAGATGTTTAGGGAACCTAAGAGTTGCTGGTGTACAGTCCCCCTTAAGTAGATAGAATATGAATATGGTTTTGGGTATATTATAATAAGATCCCCATAGACCACATATTCTATCTACTTCAGGGAGACCATAAGTGTTTGGGGTCAGGGTTCAGGGTGTAGGGTTCAGAGCTTAGGCTATCAATGCTGGCTGTGCGAACGAGACTCGTAATTTTAAGGACAGTTTGACTAGTAGCAATAAAGTCACAGTAAAACTTATGAATACCGGGAAAACACAAATGACTGAAGCTACAGATTTGAGGAAGACGGGTATTACTGGGTAATTAATGGTAGTCAGAGTAGTGGTACTAATGGTTTTGTTTGTGGAGTATGGGAAGGGGGTGTAAAGGGTTGAGGCTGAGGAAGTGAGGACTTCGCGGTTGAGGGCTTTGGAACTGTCGCATTGCCCCATGAGGACACTGGTTGCACAATGCTATTCTTGATTACTATTACTATCATTATTTTTATCTTTATTAGTAGAACATCTTTTTTTACAACAGAATTGTTGATCCTTCTCCAGAGGGTGTACGGTTCCCCCAAGGTCATTCTACACCATGAGGGTCCGGTGGGTTCCTCAAACAACTCTGTATTTCTGCATTTGGGAAACCCTAAGCCCTATCTAAATCCTAAATCTAAGCCCCATACATCCCTACATTATATATATAATGTCCCTCTGATATCACGCTATAGTAGGTATTTGGACTCTGGTTGTGGATTCTTCGGGGAAGATGTCCAGTGGCAATTAGTAAGGCTCAGGGTTTTGGGATTATTTAACATTCGGGGGTGGGGGGCTTTCATACTAAACCGTGGGCGCCTACTATCGGCCCTTCACCCTCGGATCCTTCAAAATTTACTATATACCCCCTATTATATGTGCCCTTGTGGGTCCCTAGAACCCTTCTAAAGGGCGAAGGGGCCATATTAGGGGGTATCTTTATTAGTAGAACATCTTATTAAAAAAGAATTGTTGATCCTTCTCCAGATGGTGTGGCTGGGATTAGTTGCAAGGTAGGCCCCGAACAGTGCAGCGCTTGCCCTCATAGCGATCGTAGCAAAAATCTGAAGAGCTGGGTCCTGAAAGAAAATTGGGAGGGTCAGGGAGACTTAGTAAGTAGGTTAATAACCCCTATCCCCATTATAAACCTACTTACTAAGTCCCCCTGACCCCCCAAGCAGAGGGTTCTGGTCATGGGTCTATAACACCAAATCCCAACACTGCAGATTCCAAGCCCCCAAATGTTTACCCTAAAACCCTATAGTCCCCTCAAGTAGATAGAATACGGCTTAGGGTATATTGTAATAAGATCCCCATTTACCCTATGTTCTATCTACTTAAAGGGACTATAAGCCTGCAATCCAATCCTAAAATCGTTGCATATCCCGCTTGCCGACAGACGTTGGCTGCCGTGGCCTGGCCCTCATGCTCGTGAACCCTAAACCCTAAGCCCTAAATCCTATCCCTAAACGGGTCTTAGGATTTGGCGTCCAATCCGAGATCAGCGAGGGTTCGCCAGAGTAGGGGTTGGGCAAGCCGTAGTTGGCCCTTGGCACCTTCATCCTAAGAATGTCATTAAAGCTGAGGGTGGGATGCCTCGGTGGCCCCATTTTCCGTGCCTTTTTTGGGGGGTTTTACAGTATTTGTATATCCTAAGATTGTCGTTAAAGTTAGGGCCAAGTTGCTTCCCAGAGTCTGGCATGCGAAAGCCGCAACAGATAAAGCAGGGATTTGAGGTAGATGCCAGGTGGGGTATGCGCTCATCACAAGTATTGCTATGATTTTATACAGCGCTTCAAACAACACAGGGGAGACCAGTTTTAAAATAGTTTTGCAGACCTAGGCCCTAAACCTTGGGTTAAGGGTTTAGGGCTTAGAGTGTCGACGTAAATGACACCCTGGATCAGTGGGGTCCCTGCAGAGGCCTGACAGCTGCAATCCAAGTTCGGTAATGACAGTAGCAATGGTCACAATAGTCATAATCATCGTAATGGTAGTGGCAACAATAGCAATAGTAAGTATAATCAAAAAACTGAATATGATTTTGCTAATCATTAGTCATCATGGTCTTGGTCGCCGCCGCCGTCGTCGTCGTCGTCATCGTCATCGTGGTGGCCGCCGTCGTCGTCGTCGTCGTAGTAGTAGTAGTAGTAGTAGCAGCAGTAGTAGTTCTTCAAGCCAACCATGAGTCCGAAGTCCACCCAGTACAAACCCTCAACTCCTAGACCCACATTCAAGTATTCCTGTGCTTCTTGACACCCACACTCCCTTCTCAAGGATTCCAAAGGCCCAATAACCAAACCCTTATAGTCCCCCTTAAGTAGATAGAATATGGCTTTGGGTATATCAGAATAAGATCCCCATATACCCCATATTCTATCTACTTAGGGGGGGACTATAACCCCAATATATATTCTATTATAATATAGCAGTTTCCATTTTCTTTTCCATTATCCCTATAAAGCCCCAATAATATGTCCTATAATCTATCTACGTAAGGGGGACTATAACCCTAAACCACCCCTAAGCCCTAAGTTTAGACCCACCTGGGAAGCCCGGTTAGCCCACATCTTAAGCTACTACTCCCTCAAAATGGGGAACACCCTCAACCCTAAACTGGGTTGCTGTTAAGGAACTTAATTTAAGTTACTATATTTGGGGAACCATA